CAGGGCGGGGCTGTTGTTCTCGCGGACGAAGAGGGTGTAGGAGGTTTTTGTGAAGGCGGGGGCGTTGTCATTGACGTCGGAGACCCGCACGGTTATGCTCTGCTGGGTTTTCAGCCTGGGTGTCCCCAAGTCTGTGACAGTGATTGTGATGTTGTAGTCGGCCCTGCGCTCTCTGTCTAGTGCTCCTTCTGTTAACAAGGTGTAGAAATTTTCTACGGTAGGTTTTAGAAGGAAAGGAAGATGGTCTTGGATGGAACACATTATTTTTCCATTGTTCCCGGAGTCGGGATCCGAAATTCCGAAAACAGCGACCACAGTTTCTGGGGAGTTTTCTGGAATATCACTGAGGAGTAAGGACATGGTCAGTTCCGGGGCGTTGTCGTTTATATCCATCACTTCTATGGCTACCGTGCATTTTTCTGAAAGACCCCCGCCGTCTGAGGCCTCAACTTCCACATGGTAAGATTGAATTTCCTCAAAATCCAACATCTTTTTTAATCTAATTTCTCCTGTGATTGAGTTTATTTCAAAAGCCTGAATGATTTGATTTGAGTATTGAAAAAATGAGTAGGAGAGCTCCCCGTGGGTCCCAGCATCTAAATCTGTAGCAGAGACAGTAACGACAAGGGAACCTATAGGGGTGTTCTCTGGGACCTGCACCTCGTAGAGCCGCTGAGCAAATTCAGGGGCGTTGTCATTGATATCTACAATCACTATGAGAACCTGGGAAGTCCCAGTTCTGGGCGGTGACCCACCATCCAGCGCTGTGAGGGTTAACCTGAGCTGGGTCTGCTCCTCGCGGTCCAGCGCTTGGTCCAGCACCAGCTCTGGGTATTTCTTGCCGTCGCTGTGATTGCGAGTGAAAAGGTGGAAATAGGAGTTGGTGCTAATTGTGTATTTCTGAACTGTGTTGCTACCTACGTCCAAATCTTGAGCTATTTTCAAAGGAAATGAAGTCCCTGGATGGCGGCCTTCAGGGATTTTCAGGAGGATTTCATTTTCCAAGAATTCTGGGGCATGGTCATTTACATCTTGGAGCTGTAGTTCACCTTGAATAAACTGCACCGGATTTTTCAGTAACACCTTGAAATGCAGTATACATGGATCTGTGTCACCGCACAACTCCTCCCTGTCCAATTTTTCTTTTAGGAGCAAATTCCCACTCTTCCGTTCGAGCTGCAAATACTGTTTGTTTCCTTTGGAAAGAATCCGGGCGCCCCTCGCAGCCAGCTCCCCTACACCCAGCCCCAGATCTTTTGCTAGGTTGGCCACAAAAGAGCCGCTGTCCCTCTCTTCTAGGACTGAATACTTAATGCTAGCGCTGCCCGCCTCCCACAGTAGTAATAAGAAGATAATGGCAGTCACTTGCCTTTTCTCTGGCGCTTTGGGGAGCCGCGTCTCCACCATTTCTCAAAAGATGCAGTATCTAATCACAAAATAATTGCTTTACAGCCAACTCAGCTATCTTCATTTAAATATCTTGAGTTAGTTCTTTTTAACATTGACCGACATGGGACGGCTGCCTCTTGGAAACCTTCTATCTCCAGGAGTGAAAAAATATTTCCTTTTCGAGCTGCCAGAAAACCCGCACAGCTTTTTACGAGACACTGATTCTGCCGTTTTTCACTCTCTTAGCCTGCAGCGCCACCAAGCGTTCTGCTTTACAACTTCAGGTAATTTTCATTTCAAAGCAGGCCTTTTAGGTCATGGCCTGTTATATACTCCCTTTCCCCCCGCCTATTATGAGGTCTTGTTCAGGTAGCTAACAATAGTTCTGACAGCAAAAGTAATGTCTGTATCTATATTCATCTTCATTCTAAAGGTGAAAGTTCAGTACACAAAACTGCTCCAGGCAAATTCATTTATTAAGTATTTACCTGTAGCTTCTTGGGGTAATACAGTAAATGAAACATAAAAATTCTTGTTCTTGGAAAATTTACATTCTATTACAAAAATACTAATTTGTTCTATTGTACTGGAATAAATTACGAACTTTCATCAAAATCTAGTTCCCCTCTCAAATTGTAATGTACCTGTAACTCCTGAAAGAAAATAAAAATATTATTTCTTGTTAGTCTCTGGTCTACATAACCATTGGGGATTTTTTTTTTTTTTGAGATATGGTCTCACTCTGTCACTCAGGCTGCAGTGCAGTGGCTACATTCCTGGCACACTGAAACCTCTACCTCCCAGGTTCGAGCCGTTCTCCTGACTAGCCTCCTGAGAAGCTAGGACTACAGGCTCACGCCACCACGCCTCCTGAGAAGCTGGGACTACAGGCATGAGCCACCACACCTGGCTAATTTTTGTAGTTTTAGTAGATACTATGCTCACCATATTGGCCAGGCTGGTTTCGAACTCCTGACCTCAAGTGATCCACCCACGTTGGCCTCCCAAAGTGCTGGGATTACAGGTGTGAGCTACTATATCTGGCCACTCTTTGGGATTTTTTTCCTTCATAAATTCATTATGTGCAATGCACAGTGAAGTTTCGAGTTTAGAGAAAAATGGCAATTTGTTTTATTAAAAATCAATATAGGCCAGGTACGGTGGCTCACACCTATAATTCCAGCACTTTGGGAGGCCGAGGCGGGCAGATCACTTGAGGCCAGGAGTTCAAGACCAGCCTGGCCGATACAGTGAAACCTCATCTCTACCACAGGGCATGCACCTGTAGTCCCAGCTACTTGAGAGGCTGCGGCAGAAGAGTCACTTGAGGTGGAAGTTTCAGTGAGACAGGATCATGCCACTGCACTCCAGCCTAGGTGACAGAGCAAGGCTCCATCTCAAAAAAAAAAAAAAAAAATCAGTATAAGCTCAGAATCTAGGCAATGTTTTTTTTTTACAGTCATAAAGAAGACAACAAAGTTGACAAAGTCAAAAACACACTTTCTGGGGAAGGGTATTGACCTGACTGCATTGGACAGGACAGCACCCCAGTACATTCTCTAGGATTAAGGAGATGGGAATATTGGAAAACACTACAGCTCCAGCTAAAGCCAAGTGACTGGAGTGAGAACAATGGAGGAAGAAGTCTCACCAAAGAAGAATGCTATTCTAAGGAGAAGAGGGTATATATCTGAGAACACAAAACAGTAAATGTTCCCCACACTCACTGCCAATAAAGTTGGTATTCATCCATGACAGTGAGTTCACTTATCTGGACACAAAACACAGTCAAATATAATTTAGGTCAGCCCAGTTCCACTTCAATTAAGAATAAAAATAAAATAATCACTGAATTGCCATTTTAATATATATTGCTTGCCTTTGATAGAAAGTTGAAAGAGGGATTTTTACATGAAATATCACAAATACAACTGACACAGATAAGACTATGGGCTAAACTGTGAAGGTAAATGGTATTATGGTTAATACAGGCAAATGATGCTACACAACACTATAAGGGAAAATCTGATGTTACCGAATAACCTGCCACTAAAACCCTACTTAGATCTTGGCAGATATCAAATATCTTGAGAAAGTGAGAGAAGTTTGGCAAATATAATTTCAAAGCTTTTAAATTTTCAAATTGTTAGACAAAGACGAAGATAAAATGTGCTGTTAAGTATTTTATTTTCTATAATGGTATGTAGGGTGAGTAAAAGAGTGAAGAGTGTTTTCTGTTTTGGAGGAAAGCAAGAGTGATTTGAGTAGGGAGTGATGTTTCATACTTTCACTCATTGGCAAGGATATTTTATTGTAGAGAGGATATTAGCATTTCTCCATTTGTAGATACTATAGTTTTTTTAATCAACATTAGAATGTTAGTAACATTCAGCAAATATTTATTAAGCACTTATAATTGGCATGATTTTTTTTTTAAAGACCATTAGGTTCTTACAAGAGGCTCACAAACTGACTTGTTGACCCTTCAGTAAAGTTATATTCACAGAAAATATGAATTGATCATTGTGGGATACTGAAATACTCACAAGTATGAAGGGCTACCTTAGTGTTTTAGCTACTATTCTTATTTTTAGTGTTACACACTGCTGTAGGAGTTACCACAAAATGAGACATTGGAAGATTAAATAATATGAAATGTTCACATTTTAAAAACAGTCCTACATAGCAATAGTGAAACAACTCTTACCAATAGCTAGAAACACAATTTTACTTAAGGAGTTAGAATACATTGCTTTGCCGGGGTTGGGGGTGGGGGGGGAAGAATAGATAATTTCAAAAATTTTTAAATATGCAATTAAAAATTTACTTTCTGTTCATTTTGTCAAATACCCTCCAGTGAAGTAATAAACTACTAAGCATGAACAGGAAATACTAAGATACCCACTATCTTTAATAAAAAATTTCAACCTAAAGAATAGAGGTAAAATAAGCAAGAAACAGACCATCAATAACATGTAACTTTAAGTTACAATAGTAAAATTTAGTAAAATAATCCCACACTTAACTGTATGGGAAGCTATTCCGAAAGGTGTGGGTATCTTCCATTTCTCTCTCAGTGTCCTGAGGAGGGAAGTTGGGGATAATCGGCTTCAGGAACTTGAACTCACTTGTCCCGGAATCTCCCGATAGACACACCTCGTACTGGTAGCTCTGGGACAGGGTCCCGGTGCTGCTCACGTTCACCAGATGCCCTGGAAAGGGACCCTCCGGCACCGAGCAGCCACCCACCGAGGCCGGCCTGCTCCTCCTGCACAGCCGCACCGCCACGAACAGGAGCACCGAGA